ATCCAGAGGAAGGCAAAAAAACAAACAAACATATAAAGCATGGTTCCATTTTCTCCAACAGGGGAAAAAAATCCTTCCTGATCCCATAAGGCTATTTGACTTTTTATTAAACTGTTAACACACTACAGTGTGGTATAAAGGAAGCTCACAAACTATACTATGAAATGGTTTTGCAACTGGCCAATTTATAGTAAGATGAAACCTTTATCTTTATTCTGGCTCCGATCGTTGTGATAGCGAAATATATCCCTTGCTGAGACCTCTATGCCTGGCCTGTATAAGCAGATATACTCACTGCGGACAATCCTCGTCAGATAGCTGAACTCGTCAATACCGATTCATTCAAAAGAGGTGTTTATTCTTTAACATCAGGATTACAGCAGATGATAGGAACAGCAGTTGAACGGTGATAGTATTGTGCGGTCAGAAAATGATGCCTTTCCTCCGTACTGTGCAGATTACATGTGTGTCCTTGTTACATGTGGCTAGTAGCTGTGCCATGACACAGGAAGTACTGCACACAGGAAGCAGGAAGGGGCTACACTAGGGGGAAATACATCGTCACATGAGGAATAATTACAGAAAGCATGCTTGTTACAACAAAAGGCCACTAGATGGCAGCATAGGATAACACATGAATTTAGCTATGAGAAAATAGTTAGGCAAATCACACTATATAAATTCTAACCTATATAACAATGCTAATATTAACTGAGGCTATGCATCTCATATTCTGTGTCCCTATTGGGGCGGCACAATCTTTATGTTTGTTTTAACTAGATGCTTTTTAATAAAATGTTTTAGATTTTCCATTTTCCCATATCCAAAATCAATTAATACAGAAGGAAATAATAATGACCAAACATATTAACATACTCATATACAAAAAAAGACAAGATGAAACAAAAAAGAAAAACAAACAAAGGGAGAGAACGGAGGGGGAAATATACCATTATCCCCTCCCTAGTTGCTGGTTGGACAATCAACAATATTCAGGACATATACAGTACCGTATTTATGTTTTTTAAGAGTAAACTTTTCTTTATCTTTTAAATATGTTGTGGCTGCTACTTCCTCTGTTTAATTCAGACCTATTACTGATGGATCAAAAAAAATCAAGGGTCACAGCCAAAACTACCTAAAACAATGAATCTGATTGGGGTGCTGTTCCTGTATTCAAGCCATGCTAAATGTAAAATTGAGAAAATCAATTACACATCCCATATGTGATGCCATAAAACAGTGTCGCTGATGCTGTGCATGCAAATCGCACTGTTCGATAACATCATATACAGCTTAAAGGCATCTCCCAAGCATGCAATTAAATAATTAATTGTATTTTTCACATTGCCTTCAAAGTCACATCAATGGTTTTGCTTGTTAAATGTCCCCTGTGGCGGTGCCCAGCTCCCCATTGCCTTTTTTTTTTTTATAATACGTTGCCTATTATCCCCATAAAGTGGCAAAAATGTATTAGCAGGATTCACTCGCTCGTAGACCTCAATGGGTTTCGTGACATTCAAAGAGGTTTTAATGTCCCCACATATAGTAAACCAGTTTAAAACCAGCTAGGCAGTTGCGCAGAGGGAGGGGAAGTGCAGAATATAAAATTTCCCGGCTCTGAGCCCTTCTAGGAAAGAGAAACTCTTAAACCTATTTCTAGTTTCAACCTGTTTCTAGTTTTAATAGAAACAGAGGTATCAGCTGTATGAAACTGCAAATCAATGTAGAGGCTGCACGTAGCTACCAGGGCCAAGCTCTGCAATTCTACTCCAAAAATACAGTAGATGGAAGAATGTGATTACTCTCAACTCAGTCACCTTCATTCCTGTTCTCTAGAATACTCTTGACAGCAAATAGGATAACAATATATCTTTCTGCTGTTTGGTTTGGGGAAGAGACTGGTTTTCGCAGGTCCTTGTGAAGACTTGCACGGAGAATATTATTCCGAAATACATGTTTTGTATGTCATCCGTCATCATGATAATAAGGTCCCTGGTTTTGTTGTTTTCGGGGCTTAGGACCCGAGAGGAGCACCAATTTTATTAGGTTAGGAGATCTTTAAAATTAGCAAATTAGCTTATTTTCCAAATTTGTTTTCAATCTATTTCAATCTGCAGCTATCATCAAAGATCCAAGCTCACCATCCCTTCCCTGGAGCCCCCTCCCCGTGTGACTAGAGGCCACCACCTAAAACTGGTGGAGAAGAGATTTAACCACTAGGGGCGTAGGGGCTTTTTTTTTCACTTAGAGCGGTTAAAATCTGGAACTCGCTGCCACAAGCAGTGATGTCAGCAGAGAGCATTGAATCATTCAAAAAGCATTTAGATACCTTCATCAGAGACCGTAACATACAGGGGTACAGGTACTCTTAAAAACTAGACCACCAGGGACACGCACAATCGCATACAGACACACAATAGGTTGAACAAGATGGACCTGTGTCTTTATTCAACCTCAAATACTATGTAATGTGTATCTTTCAATTAATGTTTTAAGGTTCGTCACATGATGTGCTGGGTCTAGTTTTTGTGAGTGTTTCTCTGGGAATTTGTGCTCATTCAGCCGGCTTCTTGATTGCCTGGGAAGCCAGCTCCATGCTGTTTGCCAGACTCTATGCTGATTGGCCAGGAAGCCGGCTACCCAGCCAATAAGCATTGAACTGGCTAAACAGCTTGGAGCCGGCTTCTCGGCCAATCAGAAAGCCGCACGGCGAGTCATTACTCGCCGCCCGGCTTCCTGATTAGCGGTGAAAGCCGGCTCCATGTTCCCTCGCGGCACTGCTGGTCAGAGGAAATCTCCCCCTGACCAGAAATTCTGGTATCGGGGGGTATTGAAGCATTTGGACGAGTATGAGTACTCGCCCAAATACTCAGTATCTTTTCTCAGGTCAGTATGCCTAAAAGGGGGCATACCCTGAATGTAAATGAAATGAATGAATGAAAGCAAGGGGAATGGGCGGGTGGGGACGTTCGTGACCCGCCGACGTAATTCCCTTTGAGCCGTGCCGTCTTTAAAGGCACAGGCTCCTCCCACAAATCCAGGCTAGCCTGCGGCCAGCCTTCAAACATATCCCGTAGGAACCTGTTGTTTCCCTTTAAATAACACAAGCAAAGATTTCAGCTTGGTGTCTGGAGGAGCTGGATTCTTTCTATTGATCCCTGCAGTAAATTTGAGGACCGCGATTCACTGACAATCAATAGCAATGCTATTTCATGTTCCTTATTCTTAATCACATTGCAGCAATTCAATACTGCACTTGCGTGTGTGACTTACAAGGAAATTCATGCTTTATGGATTGAAAAGCCTCTCACCTACAATTGTGTTTTCAGTTATTTAAAGGAAAATGAAAGAAAAAAAATAAAGATATATGATATAACCTAACGTTATACGACAGCAACACAAGTCAGTTTGTAATTCAATGCTATTAAAAACTGCCTTTCTGTTTTGGTCTGCAGACAGCTAAGTCTTTCTATAACTGCTGAACAAAAACTATTTCTTCTCCTTTCAAGGATGACAACAGTACTCTAGAGAGAAGAATTCCAAAAATCCTCATCCAACTGTTCCTGTAATTGGCTACCTGCCCCTTCCAGGAGCCTGTGCAGCAGCTAAGGTCATGCTATGGTCATCCCCTGCAGTGTTCTTAGGTTTACTGTACGAAGATTGATATCCTTAGTGAGAAACCTGGGCAGAGTGTGGCAAGACCAAGGCGGTAGGTTAGTTTTGGGCACCAAAAGCCTGGCGTATTATATATTGACATGGCACTTTAAGGTAAAAAAAAACCCAAAAAATTTCAACTAAGCAAAGATCTTCTAAGACAGGCTGCAACCTTTAAAAAAATGTATATATATATATTGTGAGAATTAGCTCCAAACAGTAGCGAATTAAGGACGTATCCACCCGCTGTAATCTTCATTCAAGGGCTTCCTTGCCCACTTTTATTAAAGCAAAGTTCACAAAATAGAACAATTACCCTCGCAGGGGTTCTTTAGCATCTCATGGCAGCACCTGACCATCCATCCTCCTGGCTTTGCATTTGCAGCACCGCCGCTCCGGCCTCAGACCTCAGGCCACTGTCTGGTCATCCAGACAGCCTGAGTCATGTGCTAACCTGCACACTGGGGTTTTTTCAATCCACAGCAGACCGCTGCACTGGACTCCACTCTGACCCCCCGGGTGGAGCTTTCCTGTCTCCCAAGTGGAGCCTTGAACCCTTCCCAACACCTTTATTTTAAAGGCTGTGCACACCAGTGCCATCAGCATGTGCTGGCCACTCAAATTCTGGACACAGGAATGGAGATAACACAGTGGCATTGCCATGCACTGCCACAATATATATGCAGTATATATATACATATAGCAACACATTGACATTGGTGGCATCATACTGTGGTAACACATCCTTTCAGTGGTCAGAGGTGGGGGTGATGGAATAGGAGAGAGCCACGCCTCCTCCCAGTTCTCTCCTCCTACGCGGAGTCAGCTCTCTGCATAGGAGGAGTGATTGATGTCACTACGTTGGTTAGCCAATCAGCTGGCTGGAGTTCTTACAGTGTGACCAGAAAGTAACACATCCTTTCAGTGACCAGAGGTGGGGGTGATGGAATAGGAGAAAGCCACGCTTGCACCCAGTTCTCTCCTCCTATGCAGAGTCAGCTCTCTGCATAGGAGTGATTGATGTCACTACGTTGGTCAGCCAATCAGCTGGCTGGAGTTCTTACAGTGTGACCAGAAACTCTAGAAAAAAGGGAAAAATTGACTATATTCATGGTAACTATCAAATAAATGAACGTCACAAAATTGAAATATGTTTTCAGAATGTTAACCAGGTATGCCTGTACTAGCATTAGCTTGAATTATTGGAAACATGGAGGCTGCCATTTCTGGCCTCTTTTGAAAATGCAATTTATCTTGGCAGTCCCTTGAATCTTTATCCAGATAAGGACTTCCAACGTTCCTTTGACGTTACTTAGCTCTTTACATGTTTTCTCCCTTCACAGCGCAGTTTCAGATACACACTCAACCCAACTCCCTGGTGGCGGCGGTGGGATCGGACGTTATTCTGCCTTGTACTATCACCCCGCCGTTGCCTGCGGCTGGCCTGGAGGTACGCTGGTTTCATGACCTCTACCACAACATCGCCTTCCTGCTCAAAGAAGGGCGCGAAGACCGTCAGCAGCAGAGCGTGGACTATCGCGGTCGAGCCTTCATGCTGGCTGGACCGGACAAAGGAAACCTGTCGCTTAGTCTGCATCAGGTCCGCCTCTCCGACGCGGGCAAATATCACTGCTTTGTGGAGAACAGCGTGGACAAGAACGATGGCGAGGGAATCATGACGCTCACTGTAGTGGGTTAGTCTGACCAAAACTCATCACATTTGGTTCCATTATTATGGCGGTCATGGTGGCATTGAAAATGAGGTCAGGGCAGTGGCTGCAGATCTACTAGTTCTGAGCAGTGATGAACAAGCTGGCTAAGAAAAATGTGGTTTGACTTAAATTTTTCAAATCCAGAAAGAAATGAGGGAAATGTGAATTTTAAAACTTATAAAACGGTTCCTTTGTCCTTAAGACATGCTCCAATGCCCCTCCTGTGTGTAGCCCACCTGGAGAAATACTTACCTTCATTCTCGATCCTGAGATCTTCCCTTTCTGGCCCTTCCAGACAACCTTTTTTCAGGAAGGTGGCCATGCACACCATGGGAAGTACTAGATTTACTGACATCTTGGGTAATAGACCAAGGAAAAACAATGTCCCATAATAAAAATGGCTTCACCTTGGCTAATTGTAGGTGATACAAGACACACTTGGGCTGGAAAGCCCTATTATAAATTTTGAGACAAAAAAACTAAATCTATGGATGACACAACTATCCCTCCCTCCCCCATGCCAAGGTCCTAGATGTCATCCTTTACTGGGACCTCACCTTTCTTCCCAACGTCCAATCACTATCCAAATCCTACCGCCTCTTCGTAACATCTCCAAAATACGCCCCTTCCTCACCAATGAAACCACAAAATTACTCATCCACTCCCTTGTTATCTCTCGTCTTGACTATTGCAACTCCCTCCTCATTGGCCTTCCACTACACAGGCTCCTCCCCCTTCAGTCTATCACGAATGCAGCTGCTAGACTCATTTACCCTACCAACCGTTCAGTGTCTGCAACCCCCCTCTGCCAATCCCTCCACTGGCTTTCATCCCCCACCCCCCTCTACCAATCCCTCCATTGACTTCCATCCACTGCCCCCTCTACCGATCCCTGCACTGGCTTCCATCCCCCGCCCCTCTCTGCCAATCCCTGCACTGGCTTCCACTCGCCCATAGGATAAAATTCACAATATTGACAATCTCTTATAAAGCCATCCACAACTCTGCCCCTGGCTATATCTCAAACCTTGTCTCAAAGTATCACCCTAACCGTCCACTCCACTCATCCCAAGACCTCCTGCTTTCCAGCTCCCTTGTCAACTCCTCCCATGCTCGCCTCCAGGACTTCTCTGGAGTCTCTCCCATCCTCTGGAACTCTTTACCCCAACCTGTCCATCTGTTTCCCACCTTGACTGCCTTTAAGCGTTCCCTAAAGACTCATCTCTTCAGGGAAGCCTATCCCACCTCAACCTAACCACTCAACCATCACATTCTCAAACAATTCATCCCCACACAGCTACCTCCTCATGTACCACTGGCCCCTCCCTTTTAGATTGTAAGCCCTCATGTGCAGTGCTCTCCTTATCATCTTGTCTTGAATTGTATTGTGATTGTAATGTCTTCCTTATATTGTAAAGCGCTGCGCAAACTGTTGGGGATATATAAATCCTGTATAATAATAATAATACCCCTGTACCTATAAGAATGGCTACATTGATCACGCTTTCTACTGATCAGTCTGACACCATCTTGTTTCTTGCAGGTTTGGGGACCCCACCTCTTGTATCAGTTGCTCTGCAGGGCAGCGCTGTCCTTCTCTCATGTTCCTCTGATCAGTGGTTTCCAGAGCCATCAATGTTCTGGATGAAAGGAAATGGGGAGCCGGTGCCAGTGTATCACAGTGCAAAGAAAAACACCTCTGGTGGACTTATTCATGCCAGTAGCAGCATTCTCCTTAAAGACTCCATAGATGGGCACCTCTACTGTGGACTACAACATCCTGTGACAAAGACTGAAACAGGCGTCTACGTGGCAGTCTCAGGTGGGTGTCCTACAGCCATTTCCAGGTTACACAACGTAAGCCTAATCGCTGAGATTTATAAAAAACAAACTAAACTTAAAGCCACTTTTTGTTACCCGAATTTGCATTCACGTGATGGTCCCGAGCCCGCAATTTTCTGGACCGCAGAGTGGGAGGGTGCTTCTTCAGGTGCCTATGTCACTGTCTGGGTGACATAGACACACCCCATTGGCTGTACAACAGTGGGGTCCTCTTGGGCGTGATGCGGGGGCGTGATGCGGGGACGTGATGATGTCACAACGAGGGGGTTCAAAAATGATTGTAAAATGCGGAAATGTACAGGTACCAAGTATATTAAAATGCTTATTGTGCTTGGTACTTGTAATTTGTGCATGCTACAACAAGGCCCATTGATAGTGGGCCTGGGTTCCAGGCCAGGAGTAGATCACCATCCCCCCATTGCAGGTTTGGGGACCCCACCTCTTTCAGGATGTAAGCATTTTAATATATTCAGAGGGTGGAGTGATGGCAGACAGGGTGAGAGAGTGTTTCTCTAAAAAAAAACAAAAAAAAACTGAACGGGTTGGAGGGCCCCATTTGCTCAGAGACAGGCTTTAGGTAATCCACTGTAGTCAAAATCCAAAGAGCCCGCTCATGCATACCTCTGTTGTGGAAGCAGTCCTGCTGCCCCACCCTCAGGATGTGGTTCTCCAAGGTTGATGAGATGTGTCTCATGGAGGACCTGACTTCTACGATATGGAACACTGAGGAACTCTTCCGATCCACCTGGAGGCCCTGGACCGCGTTTCAGGGTTCGGATACCTACCAACAAGTTATGACCTCAGTACCCCCCTGAACCCAAATGGGGACGCCGACCCTACACGTTTGACGCGCTACCACCCGGCCTATCTGAGTTCCCACTCCTGCTGCCCTTCTTCTAATCTACTTTCACTCCCCTGCTCCTTCCCTTATCCTACCCCCTCCCCCATCCTGTTCCTACAGATACTGAGCAGGGCAGACCTCTTGTTCGCATGAAACAACATATGCGACACAACTGGCACATACAAAAGACGGAGTGCTCTAGCCTTGAGATTTGCTCTCTTGCTATACACCATACTAAGCTCACGATACACATGGCGCCTGATTTTAATGTCATATAGGTTGCAGTAGATACACCAGATGTGCCCATGGTAGATATTTGTCGGATATACTGCTGGAATTGAGCAACTCTGCTATGTTATGTCACGATAACCTTACTGTGATTGACGTTCACCCTATACCTCTGATGCATGCTGATAATGTTATCGCGCTTCTGGGGCTATGCCTCTATGTACCATTGTACCTTGTTTTTCTTTTTACAATAAAGCTGATTTCTGATTTTAAAAATCCAAAGAGCACCTCACCGGGTCCTTGGGAGTATACTTCCTGAAGTCTGTACTGTGCAACATCCCTCCTCTCTCTTCCTCTCTCTATTACCAGTTACATTCAAATCTGGTGTGAATTTGAGTAGTGGCTGGGAGAAACCTTTTGGCACTAACATTTTTTTTGCATCCAGCACTTTGTATGTTAAGGTGCCCATACACCTTGAGATTATCGTACGATAACCGCGGGAAATCCCGCGATCGTACGATAATCGGAAAGTGTATGGAAGGCGTGCGACTTTTTTTACTGTACGGTCGCACGTCTTTTGTCGAACCAGCAGGCTCGAAAACCCGCCGAGAATCGTACGATTGTCGGCGGGTTTCTAGCCTGCTCGTTCGACAGCTGTGGAACGGACCGGTGTGCGCACGCGCACACTGCCCATTCAGCATTGCGGTCATCGGAAGCCCGCCCCTCAGTGGGATGATCGCAAGTATGATCTGCCTGTCCAAGATGGGCAGATCGTACAAGCTTTTAATAAGCTTACGACCATCGCAAGACAAAAGTCTTGCGATGGTCGTAAGGTGTATGGGCACCTTAAGAGACGGGGTTCCCATATTACCAACAAAAGTGGGAACGGTGGACTGGTGTACAATAGCAATTCCTGGATGAAGTCATGATCATGAAACCCTACTTTTCCCCCCACTACCTTTGTATCAGTAAGAGTTTCCACTCTCTACCCATCATAAATTTTTCTCTGACCTTTGGTCTACCCATTTTATGTTGCACAGATGACATGTTTCCTCGAGCCTCCCCCTGGGCGATTGCCTTCTGGATCCTCTTGATCTTCAGTCTCGCTGGCTTAGCTCTTCTGGCCTGGTTCTTCTACTCAAAACAAAAGGAGAAAGGTAAGATGAGGCTTAACAGTAAAGTGGAATTATGGGAAGGGCACAGCTTGACTGAAATATACAAATCAAGATACATTTGTCCCTCAAGTTGTCAAGCTGTTGCACTTTCACTCATTGCCCTCTGCACTGTGTATGTCAGGAAATCCCCACGGCCGGGAGTGGAGGTGCACCAGTTCGGAAGCTTGAAGGATGAAGGTCTCTGGATTGGGACATGGGGGTAATCGGAAATGTCACATCCATTGTGTCCTGATCAAGAGATGTAGCCTGTCTACACCATTTTTTATATGATTTCCAGTAAACAGTTACATTTTTTTTACATTTAATCACAGAGGACAGCTGTTTAGTGATTTACAGCCTGTAACTGCAGCTTCCATGGGAGAGCCGAGGAGCCTGTAAAGCTGTATTTCAGATCATTTGTGCTGAGATTGGCTGAGAGTAAAGTCATGACTTGAACCTAACTCAGAGCTAAGGACCTTCTCCCTGGTGGCGTTGATTTTCTAAGGGGGTAGAGATATAGTATATTCACTTTCAAAGTGAATTTTCACTTTGCTTCACCTCACTGGCCAAGCAAAGTGAAAATTTGCTTCAAAAAATGAAAATTCACCTTGAAAGTGAAAGCTTTTGCTGCTTAAGTATCATGCATGATCCAAACTAGCCAGTAAGCAAACGTGTTTACATTTTAGCTCCCCATTATTTAACATTATTCTACAGGAATGTGGGAATGTGCTACAGGACTGTGGGAATGTGCTGCCCCCTTCACCCACCCACCATGTATCCTGGGTCCTCCTAGGTGCCAGGTACGTCCATGGTGGGTGTCAGCATGGAGAGCAATGATAGATCAGTGACATTCTGTTTGCTGGTCTCCCCTTGGTAGTAGCACTTCCAGGTTCAGGGCTGTCAAAACCAGCAAACAGCAGATTGATCAAAGTTTCTGCCCAGTCTGCTTAGGCATAGTGCAAGGGGGACATTAGAAGTCTATTAGACCCTGATGTTTCCTTAGGGAGAACCTGTCACCAGCACTATGCCATCACATAGGGGCCTTATCAGCCTCCTTCTAAAAGCATTAAAGCATTAAAGCTGTAAAGTGGTATAAAGTAAAAAAAATAAGGTTTATTAAATTTTAAAAGCCCCATGCACACACATACAGGGCTGGATTTCCCACAAGGCCAACCAAGGCTCGGCCTTGGGGCAGCAGGGTGTACAAGGGCAGCAGGGGTGTGGAATTTCTATCTCCCGATGCCCGGGACAAGCAGTTCCAGGCGCCGGGCGGGTAGTTGTTTTCTACATTTAGCCCTGCTTTGGGCAAGCAGAGCTAAATGTACAGCAGGGAAGACGCCACTTGTTTTGTACAAGTGGTCTCTGCGATTTTGCCGAGATCGCTTGTATGCAGCCTGCAGGTCTGCCATTCTCCATGGGAAGTAGTTGGCGGGTAGAGGGGCGCGCTGAGAAAACTGGCCTTGGGGCAGCAGAGAGAGTAAATCTGGCCCTGCCCACATACATGCATATATGAATGCAAATGCTCATCGGGTGAACACTCAAACAAAAAACAACGCATATGAAACACGTATAAGGTATCGCAGCATACGGCACTTTTCAGGTTTGACATGTTTGGTATCTATTTATCCTATACAATTTTATCATATATATATTATCAAAAATTGGGGATTATTTTATGTTTGCCACTAAAATTATTCAACTGTAATTTTATACTGAAGATATAAATTTGATTAACAGTTGCGCGACAAAAAAAAAATGAAATGACCGCCATTTTACTCTATAGGCCCTTGGCTTGGAGAAAATAAGTCCTATTTTGTTGGGTTTGAGTAATCTTCAGGCCTAAAATGTGTTACAAATGGAAAAAATTGTCTCTGGCAATGAAAAGGGTTAAGGAACACTTCGAGGAACTTGATAATTTGACGTTGTTTTCTGTGCCGAACGCCTTTGTATGTTGCTGGCACTGAAGACTATTGTACTGACATTTGCATGACTAGGCTATAAACACGAGCAATACATTATACGGAGATGCAGTGTACTTGCTGAAAGCTGAACAAGTCCTGAATAGGCAAATGCTACAATAATTAGATGTCAGTACATGACTAATGGCTGCTCTCACAGCGCCGCCTGAAAGAGGAAGGAAAGGATTAGGTAAAACTCTGACAGGAGAAGAGGGGGCTTTTTTGGGTTGTTTCTATGTTTTGGGTTTTGGGCATCCCCGGGGGTCTTCTGAAACTAAACCGCAGTTTCCTGCAGACACATGGGGTTGTATGTTCTATGAATCTGGTGACAATTGTCCAGATAAGGTAAATCCAACTTAAAGTGGACCTATCAGTAGATTTATTTCCCTGTGTAAAGTGTAATTATAGCTAATTAACGTCTAATTGTGACACTAACAGGTATTTATTACCTCTCACAGAGATCACAGTGCTCCCTCTGGCAATGTCTTTATATGCTTTTCCAGGGCTGTCCCTCAGGTGGCATCTCATTTAGTCATGTGAGAGGGGGCGGCAGGCTTACCCCATAGCGTCCAGAGCGTGCTAGGTGGCTAAGAGCTGTTAGCAACCGGTCACTCTCTGCCTGGTGTCCCACCCAGCTCACTGACATCACATTACAGGGATAGGGGAATTTGGCGGCACGCATTACTGTAGGGGGTGGGAGGTTGCATAGTACCTCTCTCCACCATCCTGCCCAGCTCAATGACGTCACTGGTTTGCCAGGAGCTGAGCGGGAAGCTCTAGCTGACATTCTGTCCAGCTCCTGGCAACCAGTGATGTCAGCGAGCTGGGAAGGATGCTGGAGAGAGGTGCCATGCAACCTCCCACCCCCTGCAGTAATGTGTGCAGCCAAATTCCCCATTCCCTGTAACATGCACAGCTAAACAGCCCCCCGGTGATGTTCACTGCCAACCTGGCAACCTTTTCGCCCGTTGGTAATGTGCACCACCAGTAAACACCCCCCCAACCTCAAATGGTACCATCCTACAATGTTCGCCGCCTGAGGTTGGCGGGGGGGGGTGGGGCACCTTAATCCAACAGCTGCACTTACACTGACTGTTTACACCCTGGCTATGTCAGAGCATTACAGCCCCATAGACTTCCATGTGGCTGTGTCCAGAGGCTGGAGAAGAAGTTAGGTGGCCCAATAGATGTCTATTGGGCTGTAATGTGTAGACATGGTCAGGAGATTAAAATTTTCCCCGGTGCATGTCAACCATCACCGAAGTCCATGGCATGACAAGTCAGATCCAGGTAAGTATGCACTGTATCTGTAGAGTGGGAGAGTGGATTAGGTCAGATCAAGGCAAAGAGGCAACAAGGATAAGTGCACTCTGTTTAAAGGGCTCTTATCCTTTAAATTGAACTTCCCATGCTAGATTACTATTGGATGATACCCACTATTTACAAACTGATTTTTGTCATTGCAGAGAGACAGCTTCAGGAAAGAGATGACTGTGCCGGTAAGCAATACAGATCTTAATCAATACAATACATTATACTGCAATGCAGAATGCAACCAGCTATAGAGGACTACAAATCTCAGCAATACCTTATACAACAATGCATAATGGCAACCAGCTATAGAGGACTACAAATCTCAGCAATACATTATACAGCAATGCAGGATACCCCCAGCTATAGAGGACTACAAATCCCAGCAATACATTATACAGCAATGCAGGATACCACCAGCTATAGAGGACTACAAAAATCAGCAATACATTATACTATTTTATGACACTGAATGGCTCTAGATTAGTGTTAGAGCTTAGGAGGGGCTGAATGGAAAGTACTATGAAGGACTACAAATCCCAGCAATACATTATACACAAATGCAGAATAATACTCTATAGTACTTTCCATTCAGCCCCTCTTAAGCTCTAACACTAATCTAGAGCAGGTTAGTGTTATAAAATAGGGATGAGCTTGGGTTTTGTCCGAAAAACCGAGTTCATTTGCACCTAGAACTTAGGTGTTAGTGCATGCCCAATCAGCTGCGGCCAGAACATTCCCTGCTTCACAGCGGCACGTAAACAAAGGGGAGGGAAGCTGGTGACATCATAGACCTTCTGTGGCCACATGGCCATACTAGGTCAATGACATGGCCAGATAAGGTCAATGATGTCCTTTACATGTGGTCTACTGGGCAGGGAATTCCCCGGCAGCAGCGGAATGGGCATGCACTGATGTCTAACTTCCAAGTACAGATGAGCTTGGGTTCGGCCCTAACCCCAGCTCATCCCTATCAAAGAATAACAGTCTCCCATCAAAAATTGACAGTGCAAATATCCTGGCACTGAAAATGATTGATCCATATACACAGATGCCCCATACAGTCTGAAGTGACCTTTGCTGTCTACATTGATTGTGCTACACTGATAGAACAAAGAGCACAGTGCATGGAACTGAACACAGACACATACAGAAACAAATTCTTTATGCAGGATTAGGCTACAGAAATCAAACTAGCAATGTTTTAGACCCCTGGTGCCCAACCTACAGCCCAAGGGCCACATGTGCTTGTTGGGCGGCCCTTTACAGTCCCCAACAGTCAGTAGCAGGAGCCTTCATTTGTAAAGAAGCTTTAATGTCAGTGATGTTTAGCACTCTCGTGTAGCATGTCCGCAGTCTCTGGCTGTCTCCGTCAGTGTATATTGAGCCCCCAACCTCACCATATGTCTGTGAAGGTTCTCATTTCTCCAGGTCATGGTATATCTGTAAAAAAATAAGTACTTTTCTTGAAGACATTTCACTGGCCATCCAACTAGCTTTCTTAATTCAGAATGACTTGGATCCGAACTCACCAGTTACATGTCCGCAGTCTGATGGTCTTATCTACTATGTGTGAAGTCTCTGACAGTCTTCTGTCATATATTGAATATTATGTGCAGCCTTTGGAGCTGTCAGGTGCCCCAACTGAGGCCCCCTCTATCTCATAAGTTGACAACCGCTGTTGTAGACAGCTTAAGTTTACTGAATCTACTTTACTTTGTAATCGACTCGCCA